GCAGCTGTCTTGTAAAATGCATACTGTTAGTTCCAGAGGCAGTCACTGAGAGAAACGAGTAGCCATCTCTTCCTTCCTGAACTACTTTTGATGGCATGGTATTAGGAACAGTTTATTACTGTAAAATGTCTTTGCAGCATAGTAATGTATTTCTGATACATGTCATTTTACAGGTTTTTAGTATTTTTCCACAGTTTAAATCCATTAATGCACTTTACAATAACATTTTGTGGCAGACATTGTGATCTATGTGGTGCTCTTACACAACATTAGCACTTTGTAATGTCTTACAAAAATATGATAAACCTTATATTATTGCCTGTGAATCCAGTTTCATTTGCTTTTTTATCTACTAGATTTAAACTAAACGCTCCTTTACAAATTAAACCTGTGGCTGACTCCGCAAAATATCCTCAATATTTCTCATAATTTTAACACCAAAGGAGAAGTTAAACCTTCGGGTTCATAAGAGACTTGTATCCAAAGGAGCTTACAGTATACATTTCATCACTTTAAGAACAATGCTTGGAGATTGAACCCATGACATGCGTGCTGGTAACACTACCCTCAGGCAGCTGCTCCAACAGTGCTCATGTATTATTACAAAAATGTTTAACAGCAATAACATTGGCCTGCTCTTTTGACAATTAAAATAATTATCATCTTTATTGTAATCCAATTAAACCAAACTCTTTACAACTTTGATCATCATCGGAGACATAATGATGTTTTGTGCAGCGATGAAAGTGACGTTTAAATAACAGATCAGAGTGGTTTAACTAGAGAGTTTAAGAATTCTGGCAAATTATGGACAGATGAGGCAGATATTCAAGCAACATAACCTTTACTTTGGATGTTGGCTTCAAATAGCAACTTGAAGTGTCTACAATTATATTTTCTGTAAAAGGAAAACAAGCAGACAATGCAATAATGTCAGACTTTTTGTCCATTTCATGGGGGACAATTTGTATTTCACAATTTCTGGGATGGCAGATACAAAGTACATGTAACATATATGTGAACTAGCAAGGAAAATAAAGTTTTCTTTGCTATGTCTCCTATACACTGTCCAGGCTAACACTGTTACTACAGTTTTCACATTTCAGTAAAGATGATTAAATTGTGGTATTAAAAGATACATTATATGTCCAAAAGTTTTTAGACACCAGCTCATTCATCTCTTCAATCACAGGAGCCTTTACTCTTCTAGGAAGGCTTTACGCTAGACTTTGAGTGTATCTGGCCACAAAAGCATCTGAGAGGTCAGGTATTGATGTTCGATGATTAGTTCTAGATTACTTCTTCACAAACGCCACTCCAACTCATCCCAAAGCTATTTGATGGTTGACACTGGGTAGGACTCACGTGTGGCTGCTTCAGAGCATACCATTCTCTGTGCAATGTTTTACTATGCAAGCTGCATGTACACAGTTGAACACCATTGTGCTATTTGTGCACTTCAATGCATCTGAATTCACTAACGAATTCACTAAATAGTGTCTGGATACTTCCGTAAAATGAAGAAAAGAAGGGACAAGCCGTTTTAATCTACTGTCTCTTCCAGATCATTCTTTCAGATTCTCTGTGGTCCTAACGACCTGTCCATACATTGTAAATCACTCTTCAGTGTGGCCAGGCTCTCGTCGAGCCCAGTGCATCCTCGACACTTGCAGTAGTCATGATATCAATGTGGTGTGTGTATATCTGTGCGTGTATGTGTGAGTGTTTGTGTGTGCAGTGTTTGGTGAATATATTCTACCATCTTCAATTTACTGAACATTTTATGAGCAATGCACAAGAAATCTCTGATATTTGTATACCCTGTTATAGGCTGAGCAACCATAATTATGTGCATATCCTGTTAGCAAAGCACAATCCTTTGGCTATGAGGTTATTAAAAATAGATGCTGAAAGCCTGTTACTGGCTGCCATATATTCACAGTCAGTTAAGAGTTGTTGTGTGGCAATTTCTTGGAATGAGTATTAAAAAGACACAAAAAATATGGATGACAACAGTCCTCACTTTAATAGAAAGAAAATGCCTGCTGTCATTTAGACCTTTTAAATGATCTTTCAAAAATCTTTTTTTTTCCCTACGAGCATTGTGCATTGACAATTTACATTGACATTTACAATTATTGTGCACGTATGAGTATGCTATAGGGGTGCGGGAAAAAAATCGATTCTTAGATGCATCGCCGATGCGGACGTGAACGATTCTGAATTGATTCACAAATGTCAAAAATCGATTTTCTAAATATTTAATTTATAACGTAATGTTGACGGAACGCAAAAGGCAGAACTTGGAAGTGTGGAAGTGCAGCGCCCGGACAGTCTGTAGTGGCACATAACAAAGACACAACTGGGTGAGCGAGAAATCCGACCGGCTCCCTCCGCATTAAAGCCAGGCTAGGTCAGGAGTCACAACACAAATGATAAGAAGAGCCATTTTGTCCTTTCAACAAATTCAAACCACCTTGGGAGCCACAAAATGTAATGTCCAGTATATCTCAGTATGTGCTAATGTCCTTGTATAGACTAAACAATATAAACGAAAACGCAGATATACTTCGCTCTACTTTAAGCTTCGATTATAGCCGCTTTCCTCCCATCTCCGCCAGAAAACGTTTCCTCAGAAGTCGATCGGTTAAATGTCTCTCAACGTTCGACTGTTTTATGAGGCTGAAGACGCTTCTCATCCTCCAGCTTCTTGTTCGAATTTACCCGTTCCACCTTAAATTCTGACTGAGGCGCCGAATGTAAATGCGGCACCATTTAAGGTGGAACGGGAGAATTCGAAAGAGAAGCGACACACACACACACACACACACACACTACAACGAGACCAAAACCGAAGTTATAAAATCACTAAAGAAAACGGGTAGAATAGCTGTAACATGTGCTGCGTGGACATCCGCTACCACTGGATCTTATTTCACCGTAACTGCGCATTTTATCGCATTTAAAGCGGCTTCTCGTGCTCCAAGCAAGAGAGCCTTCTAGTTCACTTGCCACATCACTTCCATTTGATTTATTAATAATAGATATTGGAAGTAAATTCATTATGGATCATTACAAATACAAATTCTCACACAGTGAGAAAATATAAATGCTACATAGAGAAGAAAGATGCATCGAGATGCATCGATAATCGTTTTATAATCGCATCGCAGCCCTCTGAATCGTAATCGAATCGAATCGTGAGGTGCCTAGAGATTCCCACCCCTAGTATGCTACAGTACACAAGAATGTGCAGAACATATAACATTGATACATTTGTCTTCTGATGCTTTGCTCATTTTGTATTCAGCTCTTTTGAAGACAGTGCACTATAAATCACTATCCATCAGATCTAGTGGTTCTGTATTTTTTTCTTGTTTACTTTAATACTGTGTTTGTCTGCCACCCAGTGGCAAGTCCAATGTCTGTCATTTTCAGCTGATCATATGAAATAATTAATGCAGAAATGTATGTTGCTCTAAATATCATTTCAAAACAGACTCATTCTGTGGGCCATCAATGCTGGATTTTGTTTTGACAGTCTTTTTAATGGAATTGAGGTGTGCTGTGTGAATAAACCAGCTTCCTTTCATTTACATGTATTCAGCATTGATATGAAACAATTCCAAAGGTACTGTGTATGTACATGTGATATAAAATGATGAGTCGTGCTTAGTATGACCAGAGACATAAACTAACAGAGGTGGAAACAAGTCACTAAGTTGCAAGTAACAAGTAAGTCTCAAGTCTTGACACTCAAGTCCTGAGACATTTTCCAAGTCAAGATAGTTTAGACAACAGAAACCAAAACAACCGAGCTGAACACACTTTCCAGAAAAGACTTGACTTTTTTTCATTGGCAGCTTCTTAGTCAAATTTTCCGCCCTACCTTATGATGTTAGGTTCCGGCACCAGCTGCACCATTTAAGGTGGAACGACAAATTCCTATACGAAGTTGACGAAGAAGTCAACTTTTATGCAATGTTCTTTATAGTGGACAGCAGGACATTGCATTATGTTGGTGTCATATTTCTTGTTTCCTTTACTGCATCAGACCAAAACCCTGCGGCCACATCTTCAAAAACCTTGTCATCAGTCTTCAAAGTCCTTATTATCAATGTACTGCTCAAAGTTATTCCATGGCACCCAAGCTTTGGGTGTTGTCATTTAGCAGCAAACTGTTCCATGCAGGGATGAAGGATCTTAGCTATGAATGGAGATGAAAGAGAACTAATTTATTTTTAATGTGAAATTTTTAAATGTACAACAGTGTAAAAGGGGATTTTCTAAACAATTAGGAAAGAGATCCCTAGCTTAAATGACTGCCAACACTTATTCCTCTTGTACAATTAGCAGTAAGAGTAAAATCAGCTAAAATGAGGACCAAAAAGAAAAAAAAATAGATATAGTAATATCACAGTAATATATTTAACTGCTAAACTTACATGTTGTTGCTTCTAACCCTAACTGGATCATGAGAGGTGTGATCATCCTTTAAATTTCTCTGCCTCAGTCAATTTTCTATCACTTGTGATACCATGAATTTAATGTAAAACAGATTTAGAAAGTCCTTTTGTGTCCACCACAAAGGACATCAAAAAAGTATACTGGTTAAACTTTTATGCATATCAATAAAAAAATTGCTTTGACTATTGGCTAAAATGTTTTTCTACCGAAAAAATATCAACTATAAGCTCATACCATAAATGCATATTTTTCAACTGCTTACTTCTCTTGCACCCTTAAAACATGGTTCCTGAGATGGCAGCCATTGTGAAAAGGCAGAACTCCTGTTGCGAATGACACACCCCAATGACATATCATAGGAAAGGCCAGGATGTCCTCTACATGATGCACCAGGTTTCAGCACAGTAAATTATGTGGTTATTGAAATATCCCACAGAGGACAAAAATGAGTTACCAGGTCTCAGGATGGCAGGAAATGAATTCATTAATATGAAAAGTAAGTGGTTGTGTAGAGTCCTGTCTGCTGTCTCCACGTCTCTTCCACTTTGAATCTTGAGCCTTTCTGAGACATAAGGCTGAAGTCTGAGTCAAAGTCCAAGTCATTGGTGTTGAAGTCCGACTGGGGGGATGTGTGTGTAAGCAGAAATAGCTGAGAGTCAGACATGAGCAGAACGAGCTGTAAGTTAAGAGAAAATTCTGCTTATGTATGGTGTAGCTGTGGCCAACAAAAGCTGGAGAAAAAAGCAACATGTCTTGTGCAAAAGCTGTTTCTTTTAATAGTAGTGAATGCTACAATTGGTGTTCAGAATTAAACGTTTTACTGATGGGAGGCATTCCAACAATTTGGCCGCTAGGGCTTAAGCTAGCGCCTGAGCATTCTGTTTGTACAACAATAGAGGAGGACAACAACATGTCTGCATCTTCAGGCGTGCCACAGCCACTGGGGGTGAGTCATATCACTTGTCAGAGCTGTGTGAGAGCAGTGGTGGTGAAGGAAAACTTCTGTGAAGTCAACTGGAAACCCTGGTGCAGATATAAACAGAGATGGTGGTGCCCAGGAGCCACGTTTAGTGGTAAGCTTTAAGTCTCCAAAGTACTCCAGTAAAGCAGACTGGGAGGCTTTCCATGTGCAATTTGGACTGGCAGCGCAATCGTTGTGAGTGGTTCGTTGAAAAGAAAGCCCTGCAGCTGACGTTTTGTTTGACCAATGAAGCATTAGCTTGCCTGCTATTACTAGACCCGAGAGCACACACCCATGTGATACACCAGTACTAAGGTTCTAGGGCTCTCACAGGGGCCAGAGGCCAGAGGAGGACAGCGCAACCAGAGCGAGGTACGCCGAGGAGCTGCTCTGCCAAGGACATGGCCCAGGAGAGGACTGGGGGCACCCGCTTTGAATAATGTGTTGTCGTTAATGGACACAATGTATGAAGATTAAATATTTATTTTAAAATATTTTAAAGATGTATATTGTGTAAATACTGTTGATAGTTAATTAACATTAGTTAATACTGAATTATGTTATTAAGATATATTAAGTAAGACTTAATATACACAGTTTTACATCCTTGTCAAATCAAATGTCAGTTTAGGTATATGCTGTATCTTAAACAGTAGTCATGAATCATGCTAATATGTCACATGCACATGATCTATTTCAATCAATCAATCAACCTTTATTTAAACTCGGAATAAATTGAGGGAGAGCCTCATTTACAATGTAGCCAAGCAATACAGAAATCAGGGATTGAGAAGTTGGACAGTAAAATCAAATGTTATAATAAAACAGTAAAAATCATAATGGTACAATTTAATAACAAGAAAGTACCAATAAACCATTAAATCAATAAACCATTAAAATTACAATATTGTAACCTAACAAGTAACAGATCAGATAAAGATAAAATAAATAAAAATATAAATTAATGAAATAAAAGAAATAGAAGATATAAATTGACAATAGTAAAATAAATTAAAATAATACTAATAAAAGAAATAAAAGGAATAAAAAAAAATGATTAAAAAGTTAAAAAAAGTAAAAGTAAAAGTTTTAGAGTTTCCTGTAATGAATTCCACCTTGCTGGTGCACTGTAGCTAAAAGCAGATTTTCCCACCTCAGTAAAAGCTCTCGGCACCTAAAGAGTAATCCAATCACTTGAACACTGGGGATATGAGAAAGGTTGAGAACTGTTAAAAAAAAACACCTCTCTAGAAGCCACATGGTGGTGCTATAAGACAAGGCTGCAGATTAATCCAACAATGTATTTTCTCACTAAAGTTCTTTTTTTCATTATTGTCATAGAATAAAAGTCACACAATATAATGTGAGTATGAGTATGTATGTGTGTTTCTGGCTGTGTTTACACTCATACAAGAGTTTATGAGTTTAATGCTTTTGTCAACTTAACCTTGGCACCATGTTGTATGAGGGTCTTTCTTATTTATGTGTGCTTATCTTCACTGAAAGCAAAAACAAGAGGGTCAAAGTGGCTTACTGCGCTTACTGTGGCTCAGAGGCAGGTAAAATGATCAGGGTGTAGAGTGGATATGAATTATAGACTTCTATGACATCTCTCTGTTAATTCGAAAAGCGTAACACATTGAGTTTACTTTAAAAAAGTGAGAAAACCAGTTGCCTAAGTAAATTAATAAATTAATTTCAGGTTTATTGTATCTTAGGTGAACTGTTAACTCCGAAGCAAAGCAATAAGTAAATCTCATGTAAACTTGCTAATGACATCTATATAACCAATTTCAAGTACTTTTTATTTTCAAGCAAGGTAGCATTACCATAAAATTAATTAAATTAGATGTTATGTATTCTATAGATAGATAGATAGATAGATAGATAGATTATGAATTTTCCCCCAACTTCCATAGCCATAGAACTTCAGAAAGGAATAAAGAATATTTAAGTATAGGTTAGACAAATGATCATCGGTTCTGGTCCTGAAAGCTCTTAGTCCAGGTAATTTCCCAGTATAGTTGTTAGATATTTAGTGATTGATTGATTGATTGATTGATTGATTGTATTCTGTTTGTAATCTGTTGCTCCACCCAATTCCATTCAACAATTGGAAAGGGACATCTACAAGCACACCACAGATCATGTATTATTTGAGAGGTAAAGCATGCTCGACACAGCAGTGACAGTGATATGGTAGTAGCATGGTTAGGTGTGTATTGGTGGTACAAGTGCATTGGACACAACAGTTTTGCTGGGGTTATCACACACCTCATTGTCAGTGGTAGGTTGAGAACAGTCTGGAATTCTGAATGGAGAGAGATTTATTGTCTCTCTCTTGTACTACCAACAAATTAGGTGCATCTAATACTGTGGCCAGCATATAAAAACCTCAGCAACAAAAAAACAACCCCATTCCACTACCATAATAGTGTCACTGCTGTGCTGAGAATGATCTAAAAACCAAACACATAGTCAGTGGTGGCCCTACTGTAGTCCCTTTCTGCTGATGGACAGGTAGAAAGTGGTTTAAAAATTGCGTTTAGCAACAGATGGGACACAATTACTGATTGTAGACTTACAAACTGCTCATATATGGTAGGTGTATATGTGGCCAAAGAAAATGGGCTAAAGAACTGGTTAACACTCTTAAAAGGTTCTCCTACCTTCATGAAACATCATGAAATGAGTTTTCTGTCTTTAAACAAGAAAATCTCTTTAATAACTGCTGCACCACAGCTTTAGGATGTGAGTAGGCTTATTTACAACAGATGTAGTGATTGATTTTATTTTTCATTTTGGCCAGTGTTCATATAATATTATAGATTTCAGCATTTTATAAAAAGTTACGTTCCTTCTGGTCCCTTCTGTGCAGCAACAATAAAAAACGGTCCTTCCAGTTTCAGCTCTATATGGACCACTCTACCAAATTAGTTCATATTGTCATCCCAACTATTTTAAAAAAATAATTAAGTATTCAGACATTAAGAGGCCCTTATTAATTCCATAACAAAAAGAAATTAAACCTCCACATTTTACCCATCCATGCAGTGAAACACCACATACACACTAATGAACACACACGCTAGGGGACAGTGAGCACACTTGCCCAGAGAAGTGGGCAGCCCTATCTACAGTGCCCAGGGAGCAGGTACCTTGCTTAAGTGCACTTCAGTCACGTACTGTTGGCTCAGGGGATTGAGCCAGCAACCTTCCAGTCACAAGGCTGGTTTCCTAACCTCCAGCCCATGACTGTCCCCATCGTATCTATGTAAGTATGTAGATACTTACATAGATTATGTTATGATTTATTTAAAGCTAAAGCACTGATAGAGATAGTAATAAGCTAAATATATACAAAATCATCATAGGGTACTTTCTATTGGAAGATGGCTCAAACCCTAACCCCTAATGTTTTTTGGTGTTACTTTGTGTCATTTTTTGAAAAAGCATTTAATTTCTTTGGAAGTGAAGTTAAACTTAAATCAAAAAATGCTGTCCCATGTTTTTATGCCACTACTGAATACAAAGAGTTTTAATCCATTGGTGGAGCCATATTTTAGCCACACCCCTGCAGTTTTAGAGCAGGATACATTAGATACTTTTGTCAGTTCATCACAGAACACAGTCTGGCTCTGTGCTTTCTTTGCCTTTGTGTTCATCTTTAACTGTTTGAGAGGCTGTGAAGCTGTTTACCTTTCATTGTCAAATAATGTAAAACTAAATTTCTGATTCTGTATGAAGTAATTAGTATAACTGCCAGAGGCAGATATCAACACTGGATAAATCGCTGTTGTTGACAATGATTTTAATGGCAGACATGTATGTGCCATGTGATGGCAGGAAGGGGTTGCCCAAGCCCAGCTGGGAAAGGAACAAGCAGCAGCAGGAACTTTGATGAATTGAAAAACATTTGGAAACCTACTGAGAAGTCTAACAAGAGGCCGCTAAAAAGTGCCCATTTTTGAGTTTTTGTTGTGATTTTGTTGTGCTTTGTGCGTAATAAACTAAAATAACTGCTGCTGCGACTGTCTCTCCTGTCTCCAGTGTTCTTCCTCCTGCCAAGGTGGCACATTTTGTACAATGTACTATACAGGCATCAGTGAATTTATACAGTTTGAGGTCTGTGAATATGATGTTTACTGTCTCTAGAGGGTGACACCTATGAGTTAGTGTAAGCTAATGTTCAAGGAGTTAATGGGCAGTAGGGCTGTCACTGAAAATAACATCATTAATTACAGTGCTTGCAAAGCAAAGGTCTGTATTGTTATCCCTTGGCTTCTTCGTATTATTATTACAGTGCTTGCAAAGAAAAGCAGTGTATTGTTAAGCAAAGCACTGTATTGTTAACGCCTGGCACTATATTGTTATGCCTTGGCAAAGCACTGTATTGTTATCTCTTGGCTTCTTCTCATTATTTTTATTATTTTTGTTTTTGTTTGTTTGTTTTTTACAGTGCTCGCAAAGCAGCCCTGCAAACATGCCTGTTAGCCCACAGATAACCCTGTATTGGCCCAGTGTGAGTAAGCCCACAGTGGGCCCTAAAGGGTTTGGGCAGTACACCATTGGGCTCCCCCACAGATAACCTGACACAGGCCCACTGTGGGTCTCTCCACATTGGGCCCACATCATTTAACCCACTGTGGGCCATTAATGGATTTGGTAGGCAGTAAACCACTATGCTAGCCCACAGATAACCTGACACAGCCTCAGTGTGGGTCACTCCACACTGTGTCCTCATCTGCTAGCCCACTGCAAGCCCTGAATGGATTTGGGTGGGTGGTATATTGTTGGGCTAGCCCACAGATAATCTGACACAGGCCCACTGTGGGTCACATCATACTTGGCCCATATCAGCTAGCCCACTGTGAGCCCTTAATGGATTTGGGTGGGCAATACACCATTGGGCTAGCCCACAGATAACCTGAAAGAAGCGCAGTGTGGGTCCCTCCACACTGGGCCCACATCATTTAGCCCACTGTGGGCCCAAAAAGGATTTGGGTGGGCAGTACACTGTTAGGCTAGCTGACAGATAACCTGACAAAGGCCAGTGTTGGGCCTCTCCACAGAGTCCATATCTTTTAGCCCACTGTGGGTTCTTAATGGATTTGGATGAGCAGTACGCTGTTAGACTAGCTCACAGATAACCTGACACAGGCCAGTGTTGGGCCTCTCCACACTGAGTCCACATCTTTTAGCCCACTGTGGGTCCTTAATGGATTTGGATGAGCAGTACGCTGTTAGACTAGCCCACAGATAACCTGACAAAGGCCCTCCATGGCCCATTTTTATTATGATGGTTTGTCATCCCGTCTTCAATGTTGGTATATCAACATTAGTTCAGTTTAACTATGACATTGTGTCAACTTGTTCTCAGTGTAGTAACCCTCTGGGGTTGGG